TTAAGAAAATATACATTTTTATGTTATACAGAATGTCTTAATTTATTGTACCTTTTGTTAATTAGAGATCATAAATATTACACCTTTAATTTAAGTTTGTTTGACTTGATTTGAGTATAAGGATCAAACTAATTAATGTTTTGATGTAATTTGAATTTAAGATTTATAATTTTTGTTTTTTAAATATTTTAAAATTAAGTATATAGAATTGTAAGTCAATCACAATAGTTAAATAATTCGACATATTTAGAAAAATATCTATGACTAAAGAAAATATTCTTTAACCGTTTAAATAATAACTAAGTGTCCGTTTGATCATGAATATTTTTTATTTTATTCGAGAACATTATCCAAAAATTGTTTGGACATAGAATTAGTATAGTTTTAAGTTAAATTCCTGAAGTTGTTTTCACAATTGTCAATTTAAATCACTCATACAAATTCAAAAATAACCATGATTTGTATTCATGTCCAAACATAACTCCAATTTTCAAATATTATATTGAACTTTATTTCCGGATAGCACTTTTTCCTAAACTAAACTTTTTCTATGTCCAAACTTTCATTAAGATAAACAAATTGAAACGAAAATAGTAACAACTAATTACTCCACCCCACCCCACCTACCCACCCACCCCAAAAAGCTCCCCATAAATTATTAATTTTTCTTTTTGGAATATGGAATTATGGATTTCATGTAGAGAAATGGGAGTTGTTAATTTGTGGTATTTCTTTTCAGATAAAAAAGAAGAAAAAGCTTGTGCCTTTCTTAGCTTACATACATTTTCTGAACTTTCCCTTTCTTTCTCTCAAACCTTATCCTAAATTCCAAAAAAAAAAACAATTACACATTATTTATGTAATTTAATCTATGATACATATACGTTAGATTGTTAGTTAACCTTACTCTTATGTTTCCATTTTAGTTTGATTGATACAAAAATTAAAAAAATAGAGTAATAAATATTTTTTGAATTCTATCACCACAAATATATTTACTTATAAGCTTTTAGACTATAGTTGCACAATTCAACATGGTATCAAAGCAAACAAAAGTCTTGAGATTCAATCTCATCGCCATCAAAATTAAAAAAGATTCTCCACGTACTTGATCCATAAAGAAGAATCATACCCGTACATAAAAAAACATGTTAAAAATATTATTTAATTAAATGAAATGATCACACCCTTCAAATACGTTTAACTTAGACTCATCTCCCATACTCAAAAACAAGAAAATAGTGATAGATACTGTTATCATCACCAAAAACTCCCATACTGAATACCAAGAATCTAGCAATGCTATGTTAGACTGAATTTATTTAAATTTTTTTCTCTTTTTTTCCTTTTTTTTTCTTTTCCCAAGAAACTGAAATGCCACGTGATTGAAGAACCAGAAAGACAAAAGGCTGATCCAATTAGGATGTCTTTTTAACCTTAAAATAATTAGAAAAAAAAAAAACCTAAGTAAAGAACAGAAAAAATAAATGAAAGGACTAAGAAGAGTACGTTTTTCACAAAGTTCAAGGGAGAAAAAAACTACAGACAATATAATGATCATCATCAGTTTTCACACTTTCCTCTTAAGAAAGCTAGTTACTTTCTCGGTTTTATTTTAACTATCGTTTTAGCTTTTTTAAATAAGATCGAGTTTGATACTAATTAGTTTTTACTTGAGTTATGTAATTTGAGGTAAGTATTAAATTCTGTATAAGTAAGAAATTATAATATTTAGTTTAAAATTTAGAAATCGATAACTAATACATACATAAGTTATAAGAGAATTTATGTATTATTTTATATAGAATAAAAGGTGAAATAACAGATACATGTATAACTGATACACGAATAACCAATCCTTATAAAGCTAATACGTGCTATAATAATACTCCCTCCATTTCATATTAATTGAATTGTTGAGGTGCTTCACACCCTTTAAGAAAAGAAGATTAAGACATAATTTAGGCTTAACTTTCCATTTTTACCCATATTAATTATTATCAAAATTATGATTAAAATAACTAAACATTAATTAATAACTAATTCAATACTAACTAATGAAGGGTAAAATTGGAAAAACATTCTAAAAGTAGTCTTGAAAATTGAACAATTAACTTAATTTGAAAAATAAAAAATGTCTCAACAATTCAATTAATATGAAATGTAAGGAGTACTACATAAATTCTCTCATGATTAATCTCAACATTACTATTTACTAATATCTACATAACTCTTATCAGCTACCAAATGACTCCCTAAATATAATATATGCAATCGATTTTAGTAGAGAGTGTCTTTACCTCCTAGAATGAGAGTTCGTAAGAAAATCTGAATTAATCAAAATTCAAAATGAACATCCAGAAATGAAAGAACTAAAAAATGGAGATATTTTTTTGCAAAAAGAACCTAGTTATGAATATGTTTTTTTTTTCTCAAATTAGTACTTCCATCTCTATGAGTTAATGTTAACATTCCCATAACTTAATTAACACACTTTTAACCCTATATTCATTATTCCTAGCTTATTTGAAATCATGATAAGTCTAGTTTCTTCTTTATAACTATATTATTGAGTTAATTTAAAACTATTTTTTAGGAGTATATATATATATACTAATTAACATAGTAACAAATCTGAGTTCTCAACTTATAAAAGAAGTATATAATAGTAATAATAACTATAGAAGCTAGCCTATGCTAGTATATGTTCTTCTGACTTCTGTTTCCCTGCCAGATTTAATTTATTAATCTAATAAAAAATCACAAAGATAAAAACATTTTAAAAAATAAAAAATTAAAACCAGTGTAGTAATTATCCCAATTGTCTCTTCATGGGGTTCATTGGATTCCTCTTAAATTCACACAAAAAAGATTTAAAAAAATAAAAGGGGTTGTTGAGAATTTATTATTATTATTGTTTGGGGTGGGGGGTGGGGAGGGGGGGGGTACGGGCATGATCAGAAATTCAGAGTAATTTAAGTTATTCAAGAAAATGGAGTTCTCCTCATGTTTGGGTTGTGAACATTTTTTGTCATCAAGTGTTTTTTTGGTTAGTATTCTTCACTACCTATTGGACACTATGGTCCAATTTACTACTATTTGTTTTTATTTTTTGAACTTTGTATATATTTATATTTAATGTGAATCTTTATTGTTCAGAGAAGATGCCTCTGCCATGACATTTTGTTGGATTTTGAGTTAATTTTTTTGGAGAAAAAGATGATAACATAAAATAATAATTGTATTGTACACCAAAGGACATAAATAGGGATGTCAGAAATGCTTAGGCTAGATTAGACTTTGGAAGTGTTTGGCATGAAAAATATTATTTTTTTAAAAATAAAATGAGTAGATTTTTGTTTATTTTTTGTGTTCGTTACTAAATAAAAAGTATTATTCTAAAGTTGTTTGTATATAATCTAGACAAATAATATGAAAAGCTGGAGTGCGGTGAAGATAAGGTCTGTTGAAGGATAAAGAGGACAATCAACGTGAGATATCACTTGTAGAACTTGTTTTCTCTACTTTCATTAGAGAATTTATATTTTCTATAGTTTTAAGAAACTTTATTTTCTATAGAAAATATTTTTCAAAATTTTTGACAACCAAATATGAAAAAATCGATACTGAACACACCCTTAACCTCAACTCAGAATCCTTTTAAAAAATATAATATGTTTTTACACCAAATTTAAAGGGCGAAATTAAAGATGCATGAGTTCATTCATATCCCTTACTTAACCAAATTACTTAATACATATATATCCTTAACCAAATTACTTAATACATATATATCCTTATTTTAATACCAATTTATAATACATTAATAGTATAATTTATTGCTAATTTTAGAGGAATATATTGTGAAAGAATTGGTCATGTGAAATTTGACAATTTGGGTAAACCATAAATATGGTGACCATTGTCTCGTGAATATTGACTTAGGATACTCTTTACAATATACTAATAAATATAAAGAGGATCTATACACAAGCTGCTCCTTAATATAGTGGGGTCCTCCTTCACCACCCTAAAAAGGAAAAAAATATAAATAAAAAAATAAATATTTAATTTTGGAAATAACATTTATAATATGATAAAATCATATTACTGTATTATAGTTAAGTGATTTAATGAGGTGAAAATACATTTTAAATTGAATATGGCTACGCACGAAAAATCTATGTACAAATATGTAGTGTTATGTATATATATATTGACTTGATGTAAATACAAAGTGCACGTAATTTTTTACTAAAATATCATTATGTTAAGTTTTCTTATACATGAATTTGGACTAGAATAGTTTTTCTTCCGATATATCCGAATAGAGACAGATTCAATATATAAACTCTATGATTTCAACCTTTTAACGTCTTTATAATTAAGATATTGTATTCTCTAGGAGAGTGTACACTACATGTACACTTTGGTTGTATATGTTGTGTATAAGTAGCTAGATATAATATATGTATATTTAGTATAAGGTATATACCACTTGTAGACCGTGTACATATTTTGTAAACTAGATAGCATATAGGTTCATTTTGTAAGTTCACCCATTCCTTGCAAATGTATATTAACAACATACCCGGTGTAGATGAGTATGCGTAGGGTAGAATGTACACATACCTTATCCCTATAGTTTCTGAAAGACCCTCGACTCAAGTATCGTTCCAAATTTATATCTTTTTATGATTCTGGTTTGCTATAGAAACAACCATAAACATAATTTACATATGAATTCTAAAAAAACCTTTGGATTGTTCATATATGAATATTAGAACTACTATATTTTCCCTCAACAGTGCTTAAACAGCTCTAGGACCTCAAAATTACAACTGTGTAATGTACTCAACAGGAGAACTAAGGTAATCTCTTGGCTCGTACAAACTACTCCCATAAATCTCCTACTGCTACAAAACTCTGATCTCTAAATGCAACAACAACCGGGAAAAAAACATATTCCTAACTACTGTTGAACAGTATAACGTACAAAAATGGACGTGAACTACTGTTGCACAGGTAACTTACAAAATGCACGTGACATTTAGCGGAGGCAAGTTTCCAGCAGCAACGTTGACAGAGCTCTTTAACCAAAAGGAATGAATCAATCTGTAAATAATCCGTCAGCCTACTGTGCTTGATAGCAATGAGCTCTAATCATCCTCATCTGATGGCAGAGTAGGACTCTTTGAACAGGCATCTTTCGCATGAAGTTCCAACATTTTCTTCTCAGGGTTACATAGCCCTAGAGGATAAAGTTAAGTCAAGGGCGGTATCAGCTAGTTGGCAAGAACAAGTACTGTGAGTGAAATAAGCTGGTGTAGTGATGAATTAATTGCCAAAATAAAAAGCACGAGTATCAAGTGCAGTTCTTTCAGACAACTGAGATTCACATTTACACAGAGATAAAGAAATCAAGTTTTTAAGATGCAACGAGATGTTAAACCCAACTGATTCAATAGCCTTGGAACGGAGTATATAATGAGATTGTGACTAATTATCAATAATATATTTCTAAATAATATTGTATCCTATATTGTGTTACTAAAATACGTGTCATTTAAGGAAATGGCCGAAACTAGCAGCTTCCATAGAGAGTGCTGCATATTCAAATTCATGATCTAACATGCCTCACAATTCACAACAAAAGATTTTTTTGTCACTTATCCCCATGCCACAAGTTCAAATTCATGATCATTCAATATGCATCAAAGCAAAAGTTCGCAGGCTATTTGTCTCCGAACAAAATCACCAAGGGAACATATGTGAAGCACTGATTTTCAAAAGAACAAGAGCACAGACCTGAACACTTGGGAATGTCCCACACAGCAATGGATGAAGGGGTACACTCTGGTTCACATAAGTGTTGATTATTCTCATGATTGACATTCATCGCAAGCATCCAGGAACCAATAGTAACATCCTCATTGCTAAACATTCGGAAGCTGAAAATTCAACAGCAAGGGAGATAACTTATTAGCTATTATGCTTTTGACTGGGAATTAGCAGAGACACAAGGTTGAATTAAAATAAAGAAAGAGGTACTGCAAGGCAAAAGCAGTGTGATGTGTAATTTATATCCAGCTATTATATCAAAGATCTTATGCTATCTTAATTTATTATTACGCCTATTAAGAATTTCAAATTGAAGAATTAATTAATGCAGACAATTTAAATAACTAAGGCAAATCTTTCAAGATATTAGTGTGATAGATGAAGATGCAACACACGTTTTGAAAAAAGTGAAAATATGACACTAATGAAGTTAGGGTCTTTTTCTCTTCTTCTTATGTGATGAGAAAAAAAATAAACATCTGCCTAGATGTAATATACCCATCAGCAGTAAACAAGACCTACAACTACCTTTCTGAAAATAAAAATGTATGGAGTAATATTCTGCACTTCAGGATAGATGAATTACAGAATTTTGTACAAAACCAACTTGCCTGTTGTTCCTGAGGGCAACCAAACTCATAACAACATCAGCAGAAAGAGCATAAATAGGACCATAAGCATGGAGAAAATACTCCTTCCCGAGCATATATCCAAGTGGTTCATACCTGCATCAGTTTCACAGAGAATATATTTAATTGTTTTTGTTAAAAAAAATGGATGGAAATTTATGGTATAATGAAGGAGGATCTTCACATGATAAATTTTCACCTATAGAAAGCATATGAGGGAGTTGAGAAAAGTCCTCTGATGATGTTGCAGAATAAAGGGATTCATATCAAAGCCTTTTTTTTTTTTTTTTTGGGAAACTGGACAACTGGTAATGTTGTATTCCAAAGCAGGGATTCATATGAAATCTATAAATGCTATAAAGGACATGTACAATAGAACTATCAGAAGAAAGAAAATAATTGGAGAAGATACAGAGGAGTTTCACATAATGTAGGTTTACACCAGATCTGCCTTTAGACCATACTTGTTTACCATAATTCTGAATGAGCAAATCAATAATATATACAAGAGGAAACTACATGGTGTATGTTACTTGCGGATGATATTGTGTCAACTGTAATAACCAGAAAGGAAGTCACAAAAAACTTGGAATGACTCGAAGGGAGTAAGATTTTAGGGTAAGTTAAAGGTAAGATTAAAAAAAAAAAAAAGTGTTACAAGTTTAGCCCCTGCCAGAAGAATGAATAAAGTGATACTAGACGGGATTATAGTGCTAAATGCAGACAATTCAGGTTTCTTTCTCGACTCAGTTTGCAGGAGAATGGCATGACATTTAAAGATGTTGCAAATAGATCTAAAATAAGAGAGGCTTAAATAGAGGAGTGCTACAGGAGTTGGAAGATTTATGCAAAAGTGAAAGATAAGTATGATTGTGAGACCAACAATACCCATAAGGTAGTAAATGTTGAGCCTATAGTAGCAGCATATCTAAAACGAGAGAAGGTCATCTGAGATGGTTTAACCATATCTAACGTTGACATTTAAATGCATTTAAATGCTCTACCATATAGGTGCAATACTATAATGATTAAATGTGTTAAAATGGTGAGGTAGACATAAAATCACATAGAGAAAAATGGTCTCATATAATTTACATAGTATTAGTTTCTCAGAGCATATTTGATTTCTTTCCACAGGACCCAAACAAACTTTATATTCTTTATCCCACCATCATCACAGGCATGAAATAATGTATCAGCAGGCATACAAACTGCTAATGATTAATACTTTATCACCCTCCCATCCTCCGCAAACAAAAAAGAAGAATGAATTCATTTGTAAGTCATCTAGTAAATACCGGATTTTTCCACCTTTTCCCCAACAAAATTCATTTACTTGTAGAAAAAAAAGATAGGAGAGAGTTCCTAAATATAGAATGGAAACTGTAAAAGACACAAATGAACGTTGCCATTTTGTTAGCTACATTGTCATTGATGCAATTTGTTTGTGATACAACTCCAAAACCTTAAATTTAAATAGTTTTGATCCTTTCTCATAATATAAATATCTGCAGGGAGAATGAGTTGGGTGTAAAGGAAGGCTCTTCTCAACAGAGGTATTAAGTCAAAAGAAATAGCAGAAGTCAGTATTAATATATACACAGAAGACCCTCTGGATTTTGTGCAGTCCACCAAATACTATAGTAAACACTAACAGTTTTTTATACCTTCAAATTCAAGCTACCATTTCCTTTTGGAGCCTTATATTAGTGTTAGTGTTGTTTAAGGTAAAAATGCATCGAAAAGTGCCAAAATCTGCTGAGGCTCTCAGCACACAGCACAATTAATGCCCGACATTAGTGAAGAAACGCACAGATGAAAAGAAGATGAAAAAATTTCTATATATTTAATGAAAGGGAAAATAACTATAGACTCAAACAATAATTATATGGGCAAAAGAATTAGAAGAACAACAATTAAAAGAAATATATGAAGTAAATATCATATGAATCAAGGTCAAAAACCATCTTCACATTTCTAATTCAAACGCAAAGATGCATTTTTGAATTTCTAAAATAGATTTAGCAACTGGTTTTCTTCTACTAGATTTCTAATTTCCTATTTTTAGTTAGTATCATTCATACTGGCTACTTAACAATTAATATTACACTTTGCTAGCTATGCTTGTTGTTTAGTGCCATCCTTTTCCATATAGAGCCAATGGGTGATGCAATGCTTGGCTTAGCAGTTAGGTCTTGAGTGTCTACACTTAAACGCATGTAAGCGTGGCGTCCTAAACTTAAACAAGACTGCTAATACTGTGCTTAGTTTATCTTCAACCCCTTCATACATTTATATAGTTTTCTGTTTTTGGTGCAAGAATTTATTACAATCTTTTAGATTCGCTACCATGGTCTGTTTAAGAGTCAAATTGTAAAATTAAGTAATGTGAGTTTGGGTAGTACCTCGGTCGGCCCCTATTAGTCCTCCAAAATAATACTGAGGCATTCAACTAGAAATGGAGGGACTAAGTTTCTACATGTATAGAGTAAATAAACTAGTTACCAGCATTACATTGGGAATATATCGCATGCAGGCAAATTATGAGACTCACCATTTGAGCTTGGGGTCAGTGAAAACTGGACCCTTTTTCATGCATCCAAGGTATGTTTGGGAGTGAGGGCGCTCTTTGGCCAAGAGCAGTGAAAGGCGATCTATAATGGAAAATTAAAGCAACTCAAGTACATCAAAATTACAGGACATGGTAAATGCATAACAAGAACCACATGTAAAGAACAGTAAGAATAGAAAAGCTTCAAAATTCTTGTTACCTGGCCTCAAATATATGTCGTCATCAGCTTTAACATAAAATTCAGAGTCATAAAGCGCATAGGCAGCTTTAAAAAAAGCTATGCTGCAAAAACAACTTGAGTAAGTATAGGAAACCAAAAAAGGAAAAAAATGATGAATTACTACATGAGAGCAGCCAGAACTAACGTTTTGTATGGTAGCTTACTGTACTTTTCTTCAATGTCTAATAGTAAAAAATCATCATATTGAGCTACCTCTTTTCTAAGCTCGGCCATTTTGGATTGATCACTTGTTCTACCAATTACAAATTTAAAAGCCAAGCCAGTAGCTTCTTCTAACCTGCAATTTTATTTACGTCGGTTTAGCGAAGTATAGATTCAAGAAACGCATAGAGACAGAGAAACACAACTACCTATAAACATAATAAATAAAGGAATAACATTGAGTTCATTTGTGAAATATCTGGTTTTAAGTGCTTAGCGAAAAAGGAAACAATTTTTCCTTTTTTCTTTTTTTTCCGCAAAAGGAGACAAAAAAAGGTATCGCCTTTTGGATTTATATGGCAGGAAACTTCCAGTTCAATTCAACAAGAGCATGATAAAATTGTTCTATGAATAACTCAATTTCCACATCCTTAATTAAGAAAATGTCTTTTAACCGCAAGTCAGACACATCAATTTATTCCCTTTGACACACAGGCATATAAAACTACAAGAGCAAGCTACCATAAAAAAACAAAAAAATGATAGAATGCTCATAAAATCGACTAACTAAATAGATTTTTAAGTTGATTACTAGAAAAAAGACTACACAGTAAATACTCCAAACACCTCACGTCAGTTCGATTAAAATGCTTATCTATAAGATAATGTGAATTTCCAAATGAAGGTAATCTCACACCAGCCCCTTCCATTGTATCTTTTACTTAGCTAAGTTTGTATTAATTACGCATGGTTTTATGAAATCTCACAGCTATTCCTTCCATTGTGTCTTTTTCTTAGCTAAGTTTGTATTAATTACACACGGTTTTATGAAATCTCACAGCTATCCCTTCCATTGTGTCTTTCTCTTAGCTACGTTTGTATTAATTACGCATGGCTTTATGAAATCTCAGAGCTATCCCTTCTAATGCATCTTTTTCTTAACAAAGATAGTATTAATTAAACATGGTTTTATGAAATCTCATAGCTATCCCTTCCATTGTGTCTTTTTCTTAACTAAGTTTGTATTAATTATACATGGTTTTATAAAATCTCACAGCAGATCAATAAACTACAACAACAACAACAACATAGCTAGTGTAAGAGTCTGGGGAGGCTACGGTGTATGCAAACCTTACTTCTACACCATGGAGGTAAATCACATCAATAAACTACAACAAGAACAACAAAATAGCCAGTGTAATCTCACTAGGTGGAATCTGAGGAAGGTAGTGTGTATCCAAACCTTACTTCTACCTCGTAGAGGTAGAGAGACGGGTTCAAACGCACAACAATAAACTAAAGATTAATTTTTTTTAATTCCACATTCATAACAAATTACAGAGAGAGTAGTAGTAGTACTTTTGAAGGCCTTGATGATCAGAAGGAAACCAAGTCTGCCTCAACGACCGGCGTCGACCGGTGGAAGTGAACCCAGTTTGGATCCCAACAAAGCCCATAACTTTATGCCTCTTTTGCCCTTCATCTGAAACTCCACCAGTATCTTCACTTTCTTTACTACCAGTTCTATCCCAAACAACAGAAACAGATCGAGGTTCAGCATATTTACAATTTGATCCCAAACCCTGCTTCGAAATTGCAATAAAACCGAACATAAACCCAGCTACACCGATGAGAGAACAGAGGATCAGGACCGTCGATCTGCGGGAGTAGACGGAGGAGGAAGAAGAAGATGGCCAAGCATTGAAAGATTTAGGAGATGACGGCATTTCAAATTATGAGAAAATTAGCACATAATTTACAGAAATTGAAAGATCACAAAGGTTCAAAATTGGTGTTGGGGAGTTGAGATTTTAGCACTGTTATGGAAGTTACACTCTCTGTTTGATGAATTCTTGCAAATTGCAATGTTAGGTGTATTTCATTTCCTCCATTTTTGTCCTCTTTCTGGAATTATTAGTATATTTAGGGAGCGTTTGCTTCTAGATTTTGAAAATATATCTTCTAATATCTGTTACGTTGTCGTGAAATTTGATTAGATTTTCTTAAATATTTCAGAGTTATCAAAAAATTTAACTATCTTTCAAATACGATGCATGTTCAAAGTAAATAGTGAATTTTTCAATGGGGGAATTAAAATCTTTTGACCACATATAAAAGGATAAAAAGAAAATAGTTTTTTCAAATATCTTAGGTGTAAAAATGAAAATCTTTTGTAAAAAAAACCATAAGAACTTTAAAAAAATGAAAATGACTTGAGAAAGCAATTCGCCCAGATTTTCATTTTCCGCATCGTTTTGCTTATTTCCTATCCCGCTTGACAAAGTCACTGGTGTATAGCTACGAAATTATAAATTATCAACGTCATTACACATTCACCTACAACACATTAATTCACTTCATCTAAACAAAAATGACTATCCACATTCATCTGCAAATTATCTACTCTACAACCTGCTTCCCCATGGCTGATATATGTCAGAACCGGTTCCTCGGAGAGTTTTGAGCACTTGCCAGGCAGAGCATCAACAACATACTGGACTTCCACTGGTTGTAAATCATTTGAGTCCGGCAGCCTGGTTTCAGTTTGATGCTCTGGATTAATGGTGTTTCCTTCACAGCCTTGCCTAGGCTCATGACCAGCAAGATTACTACCACCTTGATCTTCACAGAATTGCAAACTCTCAGACTGAGGTGGGTGTCTGACATCAGCTCCTGCGTTGACATCTTGAGATGGCACGCAATGTTGCATGGGCTCGATAATGGTGAGGCCATTTTCATGGCAGGATACTGTTCCACCCGGACAAACTGATTTCAAGAATGAAACATATCAATTCCAGTTTGTAGTGTTTAAGAAAGAGAAGATATCTTTAAAGTTGAAGAACATCAAACACTAAATACTCACCACTCGGTTGATCTGCATCAGCAACTTGAAACAAAGACTTCTTCAACCATACAGTTCCAGGGAACACCATGAGGTTGATATGACTTAGACTTCGTTTCTCATGATCTTCCAAGGGTTCAAAGCCAAAGCCACAAGTCCATGTTTCCACTACACCTGGGATAGCTGATATGACAAGTTTCTCAACCTTGAACGACTTTAGCATCTGGAAGTCATCACAAGGGAAACAAGTAAGCATACATGGCAAAGCCTTGCTTCACTGTAAAATAAAAGATAATGTGCATCGCAAGCCCCAGAGACGAGGAAAAGAAGGGAACAAACAAGGGGTTTCATAAGTATAGCATGTTAAACATTTATTTAAAATAATTCAACACTAACTATAATTTGTTATCATATAAAATTAAAATTCCATAGGATTAACACCCATTTTTGGGGCTTATGTCCCACCCTCTACTAAGTAAAACATCTGAGTGGGACACCCGGCATTTAAAACATTGTTTCCTGTCAGATTACCTCCAGTATAGAATTTAGTAGGCGCCTGCACATTCCCTGGCGGCGGTATTTACTGCATGTTGCAATCAGAGGCATCTCAGCAACTGTTACCCCATGGATCCTGCATAAGAACCAAATTCTGATTCAGAGAAAGATCTCGCCGCAGAAAAAATCCTGATTTTAGTGAGACGGTTTTATCAAACAGACAGCAAGGAGGCCACAGCTTGCTAGTCACAATTAATGATCGAGGTTATGGGGAAAAAAGTCTCAAGTAAACTTAACTCTTTTTGGCATCCCCATATAGTAAATGTAGGGATTGGATAGTGATAGTTAAGAAATTTCTAGTCTTTTTCTTTTTTTTTTTGGTCAGAGAAATTTATATACTAGTCGACAATACTTAAAGTAAGTTTCTTCAAAGCACCTTCTGTAACAGACATGAATGCACCAGTTATTCAGAAACCTCCAGATGAAAAAAAATTAATATTTTTTCAATGAAATTCCAAAAATACCTAATAGTCTACCAAGCATAAATAACAGAAACAACCTGCAATGCACATGCAATATGCGCAAAGGCATCTCTTACTAAATCACAGACTAGCCTCTTAATATTAAGCAGCCGATAGGAGAAAATACTTCTAATACTCGCAAGAACAGAAAATACTTGATGTAACTGAAAGGCGTACTCGCAAGAACAGAAAATACTTGATGTAATTGAAAGGCGTACAGTAAGAAACACAAACATAGCATACAAACCAAAAGATCAGGTCAAGATGGAACCGTGAAATTGAAATCGCAAGCTTAAGATGTCATATTAAAGTACTTAAAGGAAGCTTCAACTCCAAATGTATCGTTTTTCCTTCTAAAGTTCCAACTCCAATAACACTGACATATTTTTTTCTTTAAAATAAACAAAAGAAAACAGGCCACAAATAAAAGGTAAAGGAGCACAAAGCAAATCAGAAAAGATACATATGCTCCAAGAATATCTGCATTGCAATAGACCGTGGAGTTTATAGAACAAGCAATGACAATGGACAATTGCATTCAAGATTGTAAAGAATTACCTTACTGATGCTACAGCTACTGATATGTCATCTTTCTCCAGGATCATCGTGTAGAATCCAAGATAATTTAACCGAGCAAATTGTGATCTGTAAAGATTTTAAAGATAAGTCTGCCAGCACCACTTAAGTGTCATTGTATTTTGTAAAGTTGATATGAACATAGTCAAATGACACCATGGATGCAAGACCAATGGCACCTTTTGATTTGGCTCATTGAATAGATGAAACTTATTCCATTTTTTGCATATTGTCATTATATTCCTTACAACATAATGCTTCAGATAAAATTGCTCTTATAAAGTTTTTCTGTCATTTCAACATAAAATATATTATTCTTAAATTTATAGTTCAACCTTCCATTCAATTATTCAAAATAATTGAATGAGAACTGAATGAACAAGACATGCTAGGAATAATGCCTTATCTATCAAGTGCAGGAATTTTGGCAAAACGTGTAGGCTGTAGCTAATCTCACAACTGCTTTTGAAGAATGTGGAAGAATAAGCATTAAGCGATATACCCAACCACACAGGTAAGCAGTAAGCACAGCAGTATGCCAAGATAGAAAAGAGTTGATGGGAAGCAGAAATACTCACCCCCAGCTATATATCACATGGGGTATCATATCTATGCCAGTTCTTGGATCCACCATGGGAAGAAAGCACTCCTCCATAATCGTAAGGGAAACTGCTAACTTGGAGTTGCATTCTGCCTTCAAAGCAATAAACCGCTGAGAATGAACTTTGTGGTCACCATGAATGCACCTCAGAAGAGTCCACGAAAAGCCATCAGCCAGATGATTAACGAACCCAATGCGAGAGTGAAGACCTTCATAAACCTGCAAAAGAATATCGCTTAAGTTTTTCTGTAAGACAACTAAAATAATTCATAGTCAACCTTGCAATGAAGTTGATATTCTTTCATGCTAAAATCTTTCACGTATCAAGGAAAAGATCAAGCAGGTGAACTTAATCCAAGGCCACAGAACAGTACTTTGCAGTGAAAAGCAGGTGTTTTTTACTATTACTATACATGGTGCAAAAATTTCTGTTCTTAGTTTAGCTGTTACTTCTAGATAGACCTACTCATAAGTCATATGATACATTGACGATATAACAATCATATTTCATATCACATTCTCCTGCCATGTCATATCACATTCAAAGGAACTAGTAACCATTGATAGAACTTCAGACTCCACACTAAAACCTTCGAAGAGACAAAAATATGAAAGTTGATTTGTTTTATGTTACACTGAATTGCGTCAGGGACTTACATCATTGAACAAGCTTGTTTTATAGTAATGAAAAAGGTAAAGCTGAGATGACTAGCTCACCTCTTGACAGCTTTCGCTGCAGAACCATGTATCAGAGGCCAGACCACTTTTTGTAATCCTTAAATTACTGCATGCTTCATGATCTGTTCACAAATCATCAAAGCCATTGAGGAATTTAGTAACAGAAAACCAAGGAAACTTTTGGGAAGGAAGATGTATTTTCCCGCCCCCATAACTGAACAAATGTGAAAGAACATGATAATTCTCTGATCGAGGCTTCTGAAGTTTGCCAAATGCAAAATCTTAGTATTATTTGAGACCATGCATTCTGGGGTAAGAAAAGAATACAGAGCTCCAATACCAATATTTGGACATTTTCAGGCCTGCAATGGGAAAAGAATAGAAACCAAACAAGTCAAGTTCATGGGAGAACGCACATTTATGTTCACATTGTGAACATTTATATCCACCAGGAGAACTTGCTTCACTGCATTTGACCACGTCCCCACATTTCTGGCATGTGCACTGTGAACAGTACCAGCTCCCTTCAGGAAGCTCCTGAAACAAGAAATAATAAGTTAATCTACTAGAATTTATATCTCTTGTCCAGTGTCGTTAAACAAAATTCAGTACTCAACTTCATATGATACGCAACAAAATCAAAGGGAAACCAAGACATATGAGCAGATGTGTTATTTTAGAAGAATCATACATTCATGCCTCGTGCAGACACAAAACCAAAACAATATTGGTAAATAATTTATTTTTTTTGAGAATGAACAATATTGGCAAACAAATAGAGTACAGGTTTGTAGAGAACCCATGGTATGACTAACGAAAATGGTAAAAAAGCAATAAAAACAAAGTAAAACAAGTAATTAAGAAGAAAATGAGGGCAAATATAGTCCATTTAAGTGCAGACGAGGACATATTTGACCCCAACTAAATAGAGTGCAAATATGTTCCATTTCGCATAATGTTATGCAGCATTTGGTTGGCGATATTAGACAAATACCCGCATTTAGTTATGTGAAACCTTTCTATTATTTTATGGGGAATAGAATAGAAATAAGAATTCATGTAAAGTAATATGCAGATTAAAGTACTAAAGACAAAAATGTCATTAAAGCAAGAAATCCATGCACAGCAATCCCATCACTTTACCTTCCTAAAAAACCAATCCCCCATCATTATTGATCACCACATAACAATCTCTACATTATTAATAGCAGCATAAAAATTCATTTATAATTTGTCATTGCACAGTCCCCAAAATATAATCACCATGGAAGTAGCATGTTAACCAAACAACCTCTAAAGACAAGCAGGACTAGTTTGCTAATTCCAGAAAAAGAGTAAAGCTCAATTTTGGCACAACTTCAACAATCTGTTTGATAGAATAGAACTAGAACAATTAAATGTTTCTTTTCAGGAAATGCCAATAGTTACCAAATCGGTGTTGAGAACTGTCCTAGGACCAAGTATCAGTATCTCATAGGACTACTAGATAAATAATTTTTTTAACCTGTTAACTTTATACACTAGGATTACAAGTAATACCACCGAATGTAAGACAAATTTTAAAGCTGATCAACCTGTGAATGTCATAACAATAGGATCACAAGCTATGTTGCTCGGACTCTTCAAAAATGTCAGCAGATGTGTGTCGGATTCTCCAAAAGAAGTGTATTTTTGGAGAATCGACACCTGTGCTGCATCAAGTGAAGAGTCCGCACAACTTAGATCACAAGTAATTACATGAAATGCAAAACCAATTTTGACATCGATCCTAAGATGTTCAGCAACAGAAATAGGAGACTTCAATTTTTTGTTAAAAGGAATAAGCTCTGAAACTATTAAGTCCACCTTTCCATACATCAAAGAAGTTGTGTACATATAAAAAGAACACCAAAGAAGTTGCATGTCCTGTTCAGTCCTTACTCTCAATTATTTCCCTTTAAAGACTCGTCTTTCCACCAAAACAGTCCTTTTCTTTATAACCGAGAAAAACCCGAGGCTCCATGGCAGACATTCGAAACTTAGTGGATAATGAGCCTGTCCCTCTAACTCTTATCCACTCAAACACCATGTTTTCTCTGTGGCAGGGTTCAAGCCTATGATGTACGTACATGTAACCCATACATCACACATTGCGCTATTACCACTAGAAAAGCACTGGGAGTCTTTGCGCCACAACAGTCCTTATATGCATAAAACAGTAAAGGATATTATTATTTTTTTATAAAGCGCATACTATTTGTTCATTTCACAACTATCCTATATAATATAAAAACATCTTTCTTTTAACTTCTACAAAGGCAGCAGTCCCTCCATCCAACATTTGTTTAATACATTACTTTCTGGACGTCCAAAAATGTAGTCCACTGTTCAATAAGAGACGCACAATAACTTTTTGAGCTTCCAACATCACCTCCAATACACCTAAGCTGGATAATTCTAAGCGTCTACAAAATAATGCTTGGAAACTTGGGGCTTTTCCAATGTCAAACACCTATTAAATCATTAAAAACATGCTCTTTAGAACTCTAACTTGCCAAAGATGTACTATATTTAGGTCATGTAGGGAGTATTTATCTGCAAAACAATTTTCAGGCAATATTCGTTTTCACCCCTTGAAAGGACCAAAATCTTCCTTTTCTAAAGTATAATATAAGATGCCTACTAGTACTATATACCTAGAGTGCAAGTTCAGTGAGTGACGCATGAGACGGAAGTGGAAGTGAAGAAAGATGCTCAAGTCATACCCAAGAAAGGAAATATCAAGTATCTTAGGTCCATTTCAACTGAAATGGTTCAAATGGTTCATGGCAAAGGTGTAACTGAAATGCATACGATACTGCTTCACCTTCAACATTTCAATGATAACTTTAAGAGGTCAATTACTTCCTCAAAATCAAACTTAACCACCACTATATGTTGGTCACTGAGGGTGTCCAAGGAACCTGTAGCTACATATGGGATAGCTGATTTAGAAAGTTAAAAGTTGATGCATTCACCAGCACTCTGATGATAAAACACATCAGCATCTTTGAAAGAATTAAGACGGATTAGAAACTGGTTCAGAGAATATATCTCCTTCCTAGGGGAAAAATACTTTCACAATATAACGTCAGCTAAAATCATATAAGAACCCATGCATAAGCGCAAGGACAAATCTTTTGACATCTTACAATTTACAAGTGGATTAAACTTAAACATTGAGAAAGAAAATTATTTATTCAAGGCAAGATAAAGGCATCAAACTGACTCGAACAAGTAAACTAAGTGAAAAGGGTCAAAAGACGAACCTGTGTGAACAAGCATGCTAGATGGAATGTAGCTGGACAGTTGTCACAGCAAATCAATTCGCCTCCATCACCACATCGCCCGCAACTGTCATCATTTTGGTCCCTTTCCTCAGCTTGGGAAGTCTGAGAAACTGCTCTCCGTGCCTTGTATTCATCTGACCAAGCCTCAAGCTGACATAAGGTGAATGGCTTACCATTTTCCATGAAAAGATTCAAACAGGGACGATTGACCTTAAAACCAGCATGATTTTTGAACTCCGAGATGGAGAGCACCTGGTCACAGCAATTACACAATATTCCATCAGTGGTAATAAAGCCGGTTTTTACCACAGAATCATCCTTCAAGTTCTGGTACTGGATCACTTCATTTAGGGAGACAACCCCAGAATGAATTAACCAGGATAACACAGTCCTTGAGGCAAAGGTAGGCCATTTTTCTTCGGGGAAGTGTTTTCCACCCTTGTTGAGGCAACGTAAAAGCAACTTACAACCACTTTTCTGGTTCTTCCTTTTCCTTAGAGGTTTGATTTTACCAGAGGACCTTTTGTTGCCAGATTTGCATGTCGTGTTTCTAAATACAGCTGAAATTAAGAGATCATCGTCACTAAGACAGCATGTCTTACGTTTCTTTGGCCCAATTTTGTGCTTGCTTGTAATTACTTCATGAAATCCACTCTTCCTATAAGATGGGTCAAACTGGTCATCTTGGTAACCATTAGCAAATTCCATTTCTGATAACTTCTTTGATTTCTTCAGGACCTTCCTTTTCAAGACTGAACTTTCTGCATGAGGTATACCATCGGAAATTATTGTCAGAGATTTGGTCATATTATCAGATCCTCCAATCGAGGTTAGTGCATTTTCTGAACAAATAGGAACTTCAAACAAACAATATTCCATATGTTCACTGGTTGTTTCAGATCCACAAGATGGTAAAGGAGCTAATTCCAGTAGATCATTACCATTTTTTAAGAGTTTTCTGTATTTATCAGCACCCTCACTGACAGTATCCCTTAAGCACATGGATCTTTCATTAGGATAATAACAAGATACACCATTCATACATTTGCCTTCACCCATCTGGGGCTCTGTTAAGTTGAGAGAACTTTCATCACCATACTCCTCGTGGATCCATTTATCTGTCTCAGTACTTGTCAATGCACTATCTGAGACAAAAGATGAGCTGCAAGGCTGATTCTGCAAAGCCCTCTCATCAGCAAACATATTTCCTGTGTCGTCTACATTCTTTATGTTATTTTTAACAGGAGCGGTGGCCAAAGTCATTTTGGCTTTAATTGTTTTTCCTTCTTTGAGAGAGCGCAATACCTTGTCAATGAACACCACAGTTACAAAAGGATCGAGGAGACTCCAAAGCCGAGCCAATGCAGAAGCTGTTTCCAAGGTAGCCAGTTCTTTATCAATCTCCTTCACTGAAACTGAGAGGTCACTCAAAAATTGTGTCATATCAGACCACAACCTACAATCCTTTTCTGGAAAAATACCATCTGCATAAGTAAGCAAACTCTGTCCACACAAGGTCCAGGCTCTCCAGAATTCACGAATTGGTCTTCCTTCAGGTGACTTGTAAACATACTCACCAATTCCATGAAATTTATTATTGCGTTTACGCCTCCCGATTACCCAGCCTGCTGCTCTGAGCAAACGATGGATGTGGTGCCGTAGAAGAGGGCGAGGGTCATTTGGAGAATCCTTAATCGTTAGCAATTCAGATTCATCCAGTTCTACAAAGCAATGGTCCCTCCACTTTGGCTTGTTAGGTCGAAGAATTCCTGATGACTTCGCAGCACTGCCAATTGCATAGCTCTCCTGAGAAGCAGGTGATGCAATTACTTTGCCAACAACATCCTTCCATCCATTTCCTTCTATTTTAGATGATCTTAATATTGATGACTCCATTTCACCAAGCACATGACTTTTGTCCAGCACATTGTGCCGCTTCTGCAAATAAGAACTTGATTTAACACCTTGGTTTGAAGATTCAACTATATGACAAATTACATTCAAAGAAGGGCAGGAAGAAGGTTGCGGAGTTATATCTGCAGGTACTATGTCCAAGGAAGGTAATGGTTCGGATTCCTTTTCCACATGATTATTGGTTAGCTCTCGTTCACAAGGGTCTTCACCAGAATCTTCCTTTATGTCATGAGAATCATGATGTACTGTCAAACCAAAATCTTCACCACACAAATGTCCAGGTTCATCTGTCTGGCTAGTAAGGTCGCCCTCAAAGTTGATCATTCCGGTCACAAGACACCTTTTGGTATCACCCTCATTTCCAAAGTACACATTTGCAAATATCTGTGTCTCATTCACTGACCCATCAAAGCCATCATCACGCAGACCTTCAATGTCTTTGTTGAACAGCATCTTTGCTGACTTATTACTTCTCCACAATCCTAAAGTTCTTAGTGTATCCTTGGTCAAATCAAAAAGGAATGAAAGACCAGCATCAAGCCTCACTACAGAATAAATCTCATCTCGGAATGATCTGTAGTCTGGACTTATAATATCCACTTGTATGCATCTGCACAGAAACAGAAACACAAAATTCTAAGAAATTCACAGCAGTGCAATAATTCATATCCATGACAAATGAGTCAACAAGCAGATCTCTTTCCACGCTAAATTAATGCAATTCTGAAAAATCAAATGCCGGTTGCTTTTACAAAACAAAGCCCAGAAACTTATTTAGCCACAACGGCTACTGGCCTGTTGCCTCCAATTTCAAGGTTAAATTATCATTTCTTTCAATCCCCTAGTCATAAGCACGATACAAAAGATTCCAGTTGAAGGGGGAGAGGGTTGGAGTAATTAGTATGGAGCAAATAGTGTTTCATGGACCAAGGAATATGATGTTCCTGTCTGATTCTTCAGAATTATATATGAGGCTTGATCATTATCAAGGAAAGGATGTCATCTAAGACATGTTTCGTTTAATTCTATAAGAGGCGGCTGTCGTAACAAGTAAAGAAAACATTGCAGGAGCAGGAAGCAACTGAAACCAAATGAGGCAACATCAAGGGTTTAACGAAGTAACGAACTGACAAATTAAGGAAAGCTAATTATTCCTAATCAGGGCACAGAACCAGTGCATCAAAATCAAGTCTTTCTTTGTTTATGCAATGTCTTTGAAGTTAAAAGTAGACAACGATTACAGTTAAATTCAAGCAGACGCATAAACTCATAAAACAATATACTATAGACCTTTTGCTCTTTTTTGTTAAGTGTTAGGCCATACAGAATTAGATAATCGAGAAGTCCAGATACTCAAATACTACCTTTCCTAATTTGATGCATTTGTATAACACAAAAGGGAAAAACAATCAAATTTAAAACAAAAATCTAACAAAAGCTGCATTAGCAAAAAAAAAAAACTAACATATACAGAAAGAGTGGCTGCTGTTCAATCCTTCAGCAAAATAACCGAAAAAGGAGAAAACCGTTCCGAGAAAGTTAACATATCTGGAAATGACCGAAAAGGAAAACATATAAAGTAACAATTCATCGAAATTCAATCAAAAACGCACAAAATTCAGTAATTTTCCGGATCCATAAAGCCGAATCCATATAGATAGATATCAAGTATTCAATTAAAACAAAAAAACAACAAATCCGCCGCAGCGCCGCTTGCACCGCTTCACCAGAAAACATACCTGAATTTAGAAATGCATTTCTCCGATGACTGTTAGGGTTTGGGAAACTCCGGTGCGGTTAAGGACGAAGAGGATCTGACGATAAGGTCGTTCATCGGTAAAACTTTACCATTTTATCGCCGGGAAACTCAGAAGTGAAGAAATGACTGTGTGAAAGGCTTTGGCTTTGGAATGAACGAATCGCTCACTAAAAAGTACAAAAAGATAAACACCATTAACAACTGAATACACTTTCTTCTTTCTCTCTCTACTTCGTCCGCCATGTGCGTGAGTGACCTTATATACTGTTAACCCACTTAGCACTTGCTTGTCTGTTTGTTAAATTTTCTCCTTGAGCATTTACTATTATTTTCCTTTAAAAAAATAGGAAAAAAATATTTACCGCTTTGTTTAATTTTTTTTGCCATTTGAATTTTGATGGTTTTATTAGTGGGATTGTTTTATTAAACATTTTTGTGGGCTTGTTTTTTTTTTTGACGTGTGTTCGCCATTTGAGTTGGATGGTTTTTTTAGAGGAATTGTTGTATTGAGCATTTCTGTGGGCTTGTTTTTCTTTTTTCATTAGGAGTGTGGACAAAGACGTATGTCGTTATGTGAACGCAATTCGAGATATATTAAAGTGACTTGATGACATCATAAGTAATTCATGACGAAATTCATGTGATGCTATATTTTTATTTTTTTATTATCTAGTATATATAAAAAAGAAAATTTAAAATGTCAATTGAATTATATGCAAGTAAATTGTTAAGAAAATTAACGATTTTATTTTTAAACAAGTTAAACTAATGTTGTGGTTGTCTCCTTGAGTAGGAAAGAAAAAACTTGATTATGTTGATAGTGAGAAGATTCAAACTTGAGATGTTGCTCATGGATGGAACTATAAGGATAAATGAAGATTGGGATATTCTGGTATTTGTTAAAGCTTATAACAAATCTCATTGAAAAATGATTGAAGTATTAAATAAAGGCTCAAATTAGCAAAAGAAAGGGGCTATCAAAAGTTAGAACAAAAAACAAACTATTTATTTATTATTGTTAATTAATTAAAGAGAAAAATCTGCAATGTCATCGTCTTAGCCCTTAGGTTCGTTAGTAAAGATTGTTTATATTTGTTGAAATTTAATAATATCACTATCATTTACATCTGAAGAAGGCAAATCAATATGCATATCTCTTCGGATGAATGACGATCATAAATATGGAGCAAGTTTACTAATAAAAAAAATGCAGTTAAAATTATGAAGTTTATTTTCTTGTAGAGTTAAGCCATTTAATTTATAAATGATGTTGAAAATTTATTTAATTCTTTGATCTATGAAAAATAATAATTCAATTGAGTTCTTTTTTATTGAATCTAAGCAAATATCAATGCAAAAATAATTTAATATTCGATTTGCATTATTGATGTTAAGAGACTTCAGTTTAATTATTACGTAGTATATTATACTTTAGGTCTAAAAATTAAATAACTAAAATTTGTGCTTACTCATGCCGTAAATATGTTTACTTTTAATTGAAAACTAGTAAACTCATCAAAAGTAAATTAATACTAGTAATGAATATCATATTTACAAAGATGCTTAATAGAGTATTAGTTTACCTTTGCATATGTTTGTATATATTGTTTTTATTTAATGAACACACATTTTAAAATTTTATAAATATCATTGGTCGATAATTACAAATAACATGATTGTAATGTAATAATTGACGATGATCACAATTAATAGAGGAGACTTATTTTTTTTATTTTTTCATCCTTGTTTATTTCATTTTTTGCTTCTTCTAATACCTTTTCTCCTCTTTTCTCTTTCCCTTCTCCTTTTTCAGTAATATAGAAATAACAAGAGGGGTGGGGAGTTAGGTTAAAATATCAAGCTTTCAAAAATATGAAGTCCGCATCATTTTTTTGCTAACTGATCCGCTACTCCATTAATTAGCTTTTATATACATACTTGATTGATGCCGGCCTTTATGCTTCATGCATGCAGTAGGTATCTGCAATCGTCAATCAAAGTTTGATAGAAACTATCTTTGTTAAATAACATGTCGATGATTTCATAGCAATCAATTTCAATTACTATTTTTCCTCCTTCTAAATAAATCTAAATTTCTTCGTCTTCATACCCTTTACCATTTATTTCCTTGCACTTTGATTGTCTTCTTCGTTGTCTATCTCTCTTTTTTCTCCTCTAATAATTTAATTTTCAATTTTTTCTTTCATAATTTCTTTCATTTTAAATTAGATAAGTTTTATAGGTGAAATCTTAAAAACAACAAAATTATATTAATATGTCTTACACTTTAGACTAGCCTATTACTATAGGATGAAGACATTGATATATTGAAGTAAAGAATTAGAGTTATGAAAAAAATAAAGTATAATTGAACTAACTTATTGAGACACTAATCATATATGACTATGACTTAGTTTATTACTAGATGGATCAGGCTGTGCTGAGCACAGGCCCAACAAGTGGAATTCTAGAGTATGAAAGAAAAAAAAAACAGATTTAGTGGTATGTATTTGAGATTACTTTATTTTTGTATATAGATAAATAAAAAGATCTTTTCTTTGATGTATCGATGAGACCTTTTCTTTGAATTGCACAGATAAGGCCTAAAAGGAGAGTTATCATATTCAGAAGATAACGTGTTCTAAGTACTACATGGAAGAATGAAATTTCAGTTTGTAAATACGTATGATACGGGATCTACTGTTTATGCACTAATAAGAAACCTAAAAAGAGGCAATCTTTAGAGGATACTTTCAATTATGAGGGAACATTTTATCACCTTTATATTCACAAGGGGAACTAACCATATGTAAAATAAAATAACTCAACTAATCACAAACATCACAGAATGTGTTATTTGGTCCCTGTCGAATCTGTTTAGCCCTCTAGCACACATGGATCGATACCAAATTTACTTGTCGATATCTGAATTTGGCCAACATGTGTAACCTGCAACAAAATTAAGAACAATATTAGTTAAATATTAAATAAAATTTACATCTGTATTGTTTTGGGACTAATAAATTTACCCTACAATATTGTTTCGTGACTAATTTCTAGAGTAGATAGTAGCAGAGAATAAGTGTTTTAAAGAGATAACTATCCCAATTATGAGTGCAATAAGTATTTTAATGGGATTAGATACAACATGTGAAACCATACAAATAATGGTTGAAGACAATTGTTATGAATAATATTGGTACTTCAGAGTTAATTTTCAATATATAATTAGCTTAAATGGACAACCTGCTCAACTATCTTTCTTTTGAGCAGAAAGCATGATAAAATAGTAGTTCTCATATTCACATTATTCTTCTCCACATTCAACTTTCAAGAGCATCTTGTTGCTGCTTGTGGTGACATATATCCCTCCTTATACTTGTGGCTATAGGAAATCTCACAATAAGAATGTTTAGTCGACAAAAACTCCCCATGAATAAAATGTTCCATCTGAAAATTGTAGCGAGAGTATTTAAACTGATGCTCAATAGTGAAGCAAATTAGAAAATCATAAATTTTAGACAGTTAAAAAAACACAAAAATCAAAAAATTAGTGGTTAGTATGCAACATTTTGAACCTTGGGCACATCATAATTTCGAGTCTTTGAGCTAACTTAGTGTAAAGACTAAAGCTCAAGTTGAAGAGAAAAATAAGCAAATCATGAGACACTATATTCACAATATGCTTACTTGCAATGTCATCATTGTAGGTGTGTATGCCAGCTTCTTAGTTACTATGTAGCAGTCAAAGTTGAAAAACTGGTAGGGAGAATCTTATTAGTTTGATTGGTTGATTATTTGAACTTGTGGGAATCTTATAGTTTGATTGGTAAATTATCTGAACTTTCACTTTATTGGTGAAGGTTCAATTACCCTTCTTGTAATCCTCTTTACATTTCCCCTTTCGCTACTCATATATATATATATATTTTTTTTTATTTTTTTTTTTATTTTTTATTTTTTAAAAAAAGAGCAGTATGGTGGATACCATTCAAAGTTGTTACAAGAATATGATTCACATAAAAGATCAGGTCATAGTAACCTTTACTTTTTTCTTGTTGGATGAATGTTGTACCTTCAAATAAGTTTATATTTGAAAAGTTGATATAATTAAGTAAGTTCATCCAACATACACCATATTTATAATTTTTCACCACAAAAAAGATGTAAAATTCAGTTTATTGAATGTTATTTTAGAAAGATGCTATAAGAATACACTAACCAAATTTAGAGCCAAATCATTGACATCTTGGAGAAAATTTCGAAGTTCCCCTTACAATCATTTCTTTCCTACACATTCATGTTGGCTAATTTTAGCTACTGTTCTTTGTGGTACAAATTCATGTAGCCCATTTCCATTATAGGTTCCCTTACCAGTAACTCGAGTTCACAAAAAGAAGAAGAAGAGAGCTTCAATTTATATGGATTGAAAAATCTCACCTTTAGGGCCTGATCGAGCTTTTTGTTCAAATCTAAAAAGTGAAAACAAAGTAGTCTTCCAGAACTTGAAAGTCTCTACAGCATATTCAATTCTACAGGGCTTAATCACACCACTTACATTTTTGTGAGTTGTGATCTGCCTCTTCACAAGAATAGCTACCTATAGATAAATACCATAAACAACGTATTCGTTTTCATCACTATATGATACACAATGGCAATACACTCAATGTTCTGTTGAACATTTGTTGAACAATAACTATTATTAGTAATTTCAGTACTTTAGGATATAAAGCTAGAAAGTTAACTTATTTATATCCATAAATAGTAAAATAAATAAAAATAACGTCAAGCAAGAAAACTTAATACACATCAGCTGCAAAAAGCAAACTTTGTTTCAATATATAAGCAATCTTTGTGCTCTTGAGAAATTGTTCTGTGAGAAAACTGGCATTCATATATGGTTGTTTTATGTATTTCAACCTATTCCCTCGTCCCTCAAAACACTTGATAGTAAAACAAACTAAACAACAGTATGTAATCAATGGTGAGAATTCCATAACAGATTTGTTTTGTAATTTTCAGGCAATATTTTAATTTTGTATCTCAAATCGTCATTATTAAATTATTTATTTTATGAATTCTAACTCGTCCAGAGTTATC